ATAAACTCAAAGGAGTGAGGATCCGTCCCGAGTTTTTTAGGCCCATCCTTTGGTCCATTTTCCTCAGATATTTTCAGGACTCAGATATTTCCAGTTTCCATCCAGCATCTCTTTGGGAATCCTCAGAAATCCTGTTTCCTGTCTGTCAGACTGTGTTTTCTTTGGCTTTTCTCAAAGTTATGGTTTTCTTTTACGTTTCAGGACACTGTCAAGTCAAAACGAGGGAAATGAGGAGAAAAGAAAGCCTAAAAAAAAAAAGAAACAATCGCCCCAGGCGGCTTTAAAACATTCAAACTAAAGTCTGGTTTCCTGGAACTAACATTTAAAGTTACGACACGTCTGACTGTCAAGTGAGAAAATACTTTAATCTCAGCACCAAAGCCTTAAAAAACACTGAAACACAGTTTTTCTTTAGAAAAAAAAACAAAAAAACTCTCTTTTGAAGTGAGTCTCAGCTGTCTCAATTAAATCTCAATGACATGAAGTCCAACCAAACCTGGAGGGGTTGTAGTTTTTCTTAAATAGTCATTTAAATTAGAAGGTAAGACCCTGAAAAAAGGACCAGTGAGTGTTTATCCACATATAAAAACCACTCGGAGGGATCAAACCTGAGGGAGAAGTTTAGAAATGGACAGCAGATGAGGCCTGAAAAGTAAATAAAGCAAAAATAAAAAGGAAAATGCAATAAAAAATGATCCAAAAACAACAGAAAACAGCAGAATACGTTAAATAATGTAAGATTTCCACACAAAACACTTTCCACTTCACCATAAAACTGCTCTTTTTTAATTATTTCCATTGTTTTTTTAAATGGTTTTCAGGAAATACATAAAAAATAACACAAGAGTTCACCATATTATCCAAAATCTCCAAACCCAGGAGAGAGGAGGGCAGAAAGATAAGATCAGATGAAATGAGATCAAATAGAATCAGATCAAACAAGATCAAATGAAATAAGATTAAATGAGATCAAACAATATTAAAAGAGATCAAATGAGATCCAATTAAATCAGAAGAATTAGAATATGTTTAAATTAGATTTTCCATTGGGGTCTGGATCCTGGACAGGTCACCAGTCCATCATAGGAAATCAGATAAAATAAAACTAAATAATAATTAATAATAATTAGATCAATCAGATTTAACACTTGGCCGACATATGAAAATATTTTTTGTTTTTTTTGTGTTTTTACATAAGAACAAAAAAAGGAAAACTATCCAAAGACTAAAAGATTGGTCCTATTACTGATTTCATTTTCTTTTCTTTTTCTTTTTATAATATAATAGATAATGATAAATAATTAGAAAG